TGCTGTCAGATCATGAGATTTGCAGCGACGAATGGTTTCACCACTACCTGGTGAGATCATACGTGCCCTTGTCTGGAGCAATGCCAAACCTTCAGCACCAGGCATGTGTGGGATGACTGGAGGATTCCAGCCTACCGGTATGACCACCCTGTGCACTAAGACATCTACTGCATCTCCATCCGTCGCAAGGATCTGATTATCAGCTGCAAATATCTGGCCTCGAAGACGATACTGGCATTGCGCACGATTGTTACATTCATCAGCATATCCAATCCGGTTTACGATTTGCTGAAAATGAATCTGTTCAGGAAATGAGTGAGCCATGTGAAAGGGGTGCCCTGCATTCACCGCATGATCAAACACAGACACCAGCATTGACGACCACTCAATCGAATTGTGCTGAATCAGAAGAATGTGACCTGTAATACCTGCCTCAAGTTGCGTTGGCGGAGGAGACACATATACAATTTCAAGTTCAGCTGCCGGGTCCAACTCATCCATCCATCTCCAACGAAATTGCTCTCGCCAATTCCAGAAATCTGCAAAAAGAGCAATTCGACGCCCATACAAGCATTGAAGTCGATCAAGACCCGGTGCCAAATACCATGTCATAAAATGCGTGGCCCGTGCTTCTCCCTGCCACGCAAATGCCCGAAGATCCCAATCATGATAGATATCTTCAATTGCTTGTGCCCATGCAGGCAAAACATAGTTAGTTGGCAGAAATTCAGGCGCAGCTGGATTGAATTGAAATGCATCACCTTCATGTTCGGTCTCTTCATTTAACCCAATGGCCCGTGAGTGGCTCGAGCAAGAGGGCACATGAGATACAGGCTCTGGTTGCTGTCTGTGCAGTTCTTGATAAGCTTGCATCAACATCGCATCTTCAAGGTCCACATCTACTTGATCATCCCATCCTTCCCTTTGTGTTGCACCATTTCTTGTGCTGTGGAAAGGTTCAATCAAGGCTGGATTTGGCACAGCAACATGGCTTGACGAAGATGCATCAGCACTTCTTTGCAAAACTCGCATGCGAAGCCCATCACCTGGACCAACTCTAACAGTCAAATCATGAGGAAACTGATTTCGACCTCTGCTGACAGTGAATTCCACCTGTCCAGTGCGGACAACCTCAAACCTGTCTGCCACATCCTGAGCGCTGGAAAATTCATGAACCACAAGCGCAGTGTGATCCGTAGTGACTCCATTAGCTGCTTCCACAACCCTGGTCACCAGGATGGGCACATGATCCTGTGGAATCGCTTGTGATACAACAATGTGCGCAGCATGAGATTGCCATGGTTCACTAACAGGGGTGGGGTCAACAAAATGGATATCTGTCGAAGAACCTCGTGCAAGAACTTCGCGCCAGTGGAAAATGATCTCTGACCTCCACCAGGCATTGTCGGAATCCAATCTGATGACTCTTGGCGACTCATTCCTAAGATAAGAGTGGCCATCTAGGAACCAAACAAGAATGTAAATGATTCTTCCTTCGTCGGCATTTTCAACAACTGCGTATCGGTCAAAGCACTCTTGCAATGAATTAAGCCAGTCTGGGGGGTATTCTTGTTCGTTTCCAATCGAGCGATTCAGTGGTGCATCAGGATTGCCATTGGCATTGGCATCGGCTGGGAACGATTGCAAATTTGGACGGCGAAAGATCTGTCCACTAATGGCAGACTGCAATTCTTGTCTCAGTCTTTGATCGGACATGGAAAGTAATTCTTGAAGACTAACACGAATGCCACGTTTCACTAGGAGTTTAAAGGCATTGCCCAGCCTGACATTAACCGTCTGATCACGCCGAATTGCAATGTTTCCCATCCACATCAAACATTCATTATGTTCATTGTCTGGCGGACAAACCTCATTGTATCCCATCAGCAAAATAAAGGATCTGATGTCAAATCTGTCTCCGACCACCAAGGCAATCGAGTGCGGTCGACCTTCATCAACTGCTGTGTCATACAATGTAGCAACGATCGTTCTGGAGAATGGTTCTGATTGCTGCTCAATGACCAGCTGCTCTTGGGCAGTTCTGTCTGCATCATCAGGTGTTGGAAAAACAATAGCAAATTGTGATGGCAGCGTCAGGTCAGCTTTGTCAGGCCAAGCTGCAAGAAGCTCCCTTTCCCAGTGCTGGAAAGTCAGCGAGAGCACTACTATTCTGGACTCTCTGCATCTTGACCAGCGTCTTGGATTGCTAAACCAGGTTTCAATTCTTGGTCCTACCTGGGGGACCTCACCTGTCCGTGGAAGTGTCTCTGCCCATTTCTCCCATATATCTTGAACCCACAATGGTTGATCTTGGAGACCAGCGGGCGCATCAATGGGAAGTTCATTTGCTTCAACTTGGGAACCAATTGCCTGAACATACCGAATGAATTCCTCTGTGAGACTGAACATTGTGGCCTTCGGCTCATCATTGAAACATTTTCGCTGAAAAGGCAGAACCTTGTTGCCTGATACCTCAGCATCAGCATTCAGGTCACACGCCTTATTTCCCTTGCAAAGCTTGAGATTCACTCTTGGTGCTACTGAAATATGGAACATACTGAGCTCGTCATGTTCAGCAGCTAGTGAGCCGTCTTCGTCATGAGGCAGTACCTTGACAATCAACCCCATACCTGACCAGGTTCGAAATTTTTGTTGTGCATCGGACAAGCTGGGAACAATCCATTCCATCCTGTTACCAGCAAATGCGGTCAATAGAGGGACGGCCGAGACCACTTCTGCCTGGGAGCTCTCTCTGGCCAATGCAAGCGCAAACCTCACGATCACACTAGGGGACTCTACTGCTACAAATTCAATTGAAATCAGAACAGAGGACATGCTGGCATGATTCTTCGTGAGGATGACATGAGCGACATGCTCCTCAAGTTCTGGTCGACGCATGGTTGATTGTACAAGGTCCATAAAGACATGATCGGCTGAGATTAATCGATGTTTCCAAGGCTCTCGGATGTCCTCATCCCATTCCGATGGGTCGTCTCCTAGGACAACTATTTTTGGATCTCTGCATATCTCATTGGACTGATGATCTACAAGCCAAGTGTAAATCGAGAAAACAAACTCTTGACGTTCTTCTTCACAATTAGCCAGCGGAGCAACAACGCGCTGCAGGTCAATAAGCCAGTCAGGCGGAACAAACTCAGCAGGGCTGTCTTCACTGCTAGACTGTTGGAGATCAGGAACAATCACAGTGTCGGGAAGCTGTCTTTGCATGAGGTGTGCTTCATCGGTCTCTACGCTAGTGGGCACAGCTAAGCGCCGAATTTCATCCTCATCTAACAGCTCGGGCGAAAACCCAGATGCAGTTTCGTCATTGAACATTACATCATACACTTCTTGATCAGAAAGTCCACGTTGTGTCAAATCAGTGATGACTTCGGTTGGACATGCAAACCTGTCTGAAGGAGGGAGAGCAATTTTGATGTAATCTCCATGAGCAATCGTTTTCCTGTCTGCATCATAATCTGGCCAACGACGGGAGTTGATATAAACCAGACATCTCCCTTCCTCAGCACGGCAATATCTGTCAACTCTGGCAGATGCCAACACTTCATTTCTGTTTGCATGTCTTGTCAAAGGAACAACATGCCTGAACACTGTCGGACCGGACCTGAAATGTGGCTCTACACGATGTGCATGGTATTCAATGTCAACCAATACCAACCTACCACTCATATCGGGAGGAATGTCACCATTGATATGCACAATCGTAGGCACGACTCCTGGCTCAATATCAGGCGGTGCAGTGACAACTTCATATGCATCTACTAAGGCGTCTCTGTCAAGGGCAAAGTGATGAGCAATTTCACGCATCATGTCTTCATAGCTGTTCCAGCAGACCATGGCTCTAATGGGGCGGTCATCCATGTGATAGAGCAGGACATCCTGTCTATTTTCATCATTGGAAGGAGGATGTGCCCCAGAAAAGTCTGACCCGTCACCAGGGGAATATCCCTCAGAATCTTCATGATGATCACGCTCAGATCCGGTGGGGTCATCTTGCTGAAACATTTGACCTTCCTGAAACGCTTGAACAATGTCAACATTTTGATAATCTTCAGGCGCATTTTTGAAAGCAATTCCAGCTGGCAATCTGGTTTGCATGAGACTAAATTCATCTTCATTGCTCAACTCAGCACGGGACATAGTCAAGTCAAGGTGACTGGCAAAACCCTGATTGCAGTGAGACGAACTACTGTGTCTTCGACCCATCTGTCCGTCTGGATGCTGTGCCAGACCAGTGTCCCCATTGGATGAGACGTCAAAGAATTTACTTGGATGCATACATGAGGAATCTTGATATTTTCGGCTTTTGATCTTCTTGGATTTTTTAGTCCATGGTTTTTCATTCCATGTAGCTAGATCCTCACTCGAAATCTCCACTGTTCCCATGACCAGTTCATCTTCAAGCCCAATATGGAGCAAAACTGTTGATTCGAATTGCACCCTCCTTTCCCGTGAGGCACCTTTACGGGACTTAGATATGCATGAAGATATATGGTTGGAGAGACCATTACTGTAAGGCATCTTTTGATAGGAATGGCAATAAACCTTCGGAAGGGCATCGACGTGGAGCAAATCAACTGTAGAGACAGGATATGCTGCAACACTGTCATTCTGCATGAAAACATTTGCAATTTGTGGTTGGTCATTTCGCCTGTCAATGTTGCTGTCAAACAAATGTACAGTGGATGAGTCAATGCTGCAAACACTTGATACTTGAATGAAGGCATCATGGAAGGCATCCTTTATGCAGTTCCATCGCAAACACCATGCTGATAAGGCCGCAGTAAAGGAATTTCGAATCGAGAAACGATCATCTATATAATGTCGCCAATGAAGGTCAAGATTGTCTGATACTTCTGAAAGCTCCCATGTGCATGCTGCATGCATGGTTGGCGTCCATGCATAGGCCTCAACACGTGGGCCGCAACGTGAGGCGCCATGCAAGTTATTCACTTGAACTAACAGTGCACCGCCATTGTTCACGTGGCTTTGTGTTCTGTAGGAGTGGACGCAGATGGCGCCCCACCACCAAACGGCTCGAGAGATCGGGGTCTCTTTTGTCTGTTTTGGTCTGCAGCGTTGAAGGCATCGTCTTCTGCCACCATCTCCGAGAGCCCTTTGTGTTGACCTTGGGCTGTCAGATCTAGACCCAAGGAGGCGGCACAACTTTGAAGCACAGTCTGCAATTGTTGCTGCATAGCCTCTTCTTCGTTGTCCGCATCCACGGTCAAGTCCTCGGTCTCGGCTGTGACTGCTGCAATGGGGGGCATCGCTGCAAGGGTAGCCGGAGTGGCTTTCGATGACAACGCCTGAATGGCGCTTCTGGCACCTTCGATGTCGGCTCTGGCCTTTGTAGCCACTTCCTGCAGGGATGCTTGTTGTTGACGGTATTCGTGGAGCTGTCCCTCCCAAGTCTTTGCTGCCTCCGCCACATGCTTTGTCCAACGTGCACGATGGACACGCTTGGCTTCCAACGTTTCTGTCAACGTCTTCTGTGCCTTGCCCAGCGCTGTTGTCGCTGAGTGCAAATTCTTGGTGGTCGCTTTGGAATGTTCCTTCTCGAGCTTCTCTATGTCCGTTTCCATCTTGACAATCAAATCTCTTGTGTCCTGCGGCATCATAGCCGGGTCCGTATATGCTGTCTTCAGAGCACTCACAACTTCCCTTTTTTGTGCAATGGATTCGTTGGCCTGAATTGCTGTAAAAGGGGATGAGGTCGAGGCAACTGAAGGCATGAGATTCACTGTTGTACTCTCTAAAGCCGGCCAGGGAGGCAATTCCGTCGCCAACGGAGCAAAGGGGGATTGCTGCTTTGAGGCATTGGCAGAGTCTTTTGCTTTGCTCTTTCCTCCTTTGCCCTTCCCTTTGTGCTGGCCCTTGTTGCCTTTGTGGCTTTTCTGATTCTTGTAAGCGTCTGATTTGGCACTGCGTGTGCTCGCCTGAGATTGCGATCTCGATCTGTCCCAATGGTGGGACGCATCCGTTTGCTCCCATTCGTCCCATTCCCGGGACCATTTCCCCCAATCCTGCCAGCCGGCATTTTCTTGATGCTGCGGCTGCTGTTTGGGTTGAGTATTGTGACGAGTTCCACTCGTCCAGTGTGCATAGCAAAGTGCACACTTTATAGCCTGTTTTTTGTTGATTCGTTGGCAGTTGTTGCACCGCCACGGCCACAACTCCATCTCCATAATCTGCTTGGAAATGCGCAGCAAAAATTTGCTGTCCCTGGAATGATGGGTGGACAATGTATGTCTTACCCTTCTGAGGCGTGCCAAGTTCAGAATCACCAAACCTTTTCGGTGCAAGAACCAGTCGCGACGAGCAGTTTGGCGCTGTCGTCGATTCCGCCTTCTCTGTGTCCCAGTCTGTGTTGGAATTTTGAATGAAGTCAAATCCCACGATGAGCAGAAGAAAAAGGAGAAGGAATGAGCACATAAATCAATTGAAAATTATCCACCTCGTATTGCAAAGCTCAATGCCAGGGCTTGTCCAGTTCAGCAGAGAACGCTCACCAAAAAGTCCACGAAGCTTACAATGTGCAGCAAGAGGATAAACAAATCAAATAGAAATGATCAATTGACAAAATTGTATGGAGACAAATGGAAAATACCTTGAGGTCACGTGAGCACCCGAATACAATCACCGGTGATCGGCCACCGCAGAGCCCAGTAATAATCAGATGTCGAAAGACAACAGGGGTATATACCAAAAATCCCAAATGAATCCAACTTGAATTGTAAGAACCAAGAAAGCACCAGCGCTGAGCAGTTTAGTGCAATCCCAGGGCAAAACCGGAAAGTGATGAGCCAGCTGCTTGTTCGAGGAAAATCACTCAACAGTGCAGATGGACCAACCACAATCAAGCAAGGTCAGTAGGTCAGTCCTTGACCCGTGGGCAGCAGACACCGGAGCCCACTTAGGTGATGGCAGTAACCAGCGAACGTATGTCAACGACGGGGGGAAACTGAGCCAAACACCTTGATGAGATAACCATCATAACCGAGCCAATGACCGATGACCCTAACCGCCATAACCCCAAAAAACATCTCTTTGCAAGACAAACTTACCTCCCAAAGTTCAGACAACAGGAAAAATCATCAGCCAAGCTTCCCAGTAGCAGGACGTGCCCTGCGGCCGAAGTGGGTTACTGATGAACTGATACATCTTGGTTGCACAACTTTCAGGCATTGCATCATCCTGTTCAATCTCCCTATTTTATAGTCATGAGATTGGAGACGTATTTCAATAGTGAAGTAACCATCTGGGATGAATTTCAGTCACTTTTGATGGCAATGTTGCAGTTCCCAACCAATTACTGTAAACATATCATGTATGGAATAGTGTTCCCGACATTTTTCCCATATTCATCTACACAAAACGCACAAAAGCTTCCATAAACATGACCCTTCACATTTATCAATGAAACGGTTCACAGTGTCAAAAGCACTAACTCCAGCACATACTGAACCTTTTGATGCCCCATGCTATCATTTTTTTTGACGATGATCCAACCATTCAGAATCATCAAAATGGCTAAACAATAGCCATGAAGCACCAGGACTCCCGGTCGGCACCGGCAGTTGTCGAATCTCTGCATGGCGCTTAACACAAGTGGTAAAGGCATGCACGGGTTCACCCCACCTCGGAACTCAGAACTGGATATGGTGGTATGGTTGAGGAAAACCCCCAAGTGGAATGGGATAAGTTGCTGTGGTCTGTTAAAGGATGATTGGGTGTGCCACATGTTTGGAGATGAACGACTGACTGTATTGAAATGGCTGAAACGACTGTGGATTTTACGGATGCCAAGAGATGACTCGTTGGATGGTTGAGTTTAATGCAAACGTTGGATGAGCAAATTTGGGATCCAAAATAACCAACAAGATGTGAGGATTTGCGCATTGAAACACTGGGACATGATTCATGATCCACAAGGATCCTGATTTTTTGAAAGTTTGAATCCTGCGGATGGTGACTACAAAAATTTTTGACTGGTGATACAAAAAGAAACCCCAAAGGCTTTGGTCAAATTTGACCCACTTCTTTTAAGCAATAGGACTTTGTCCATCAGGTTTAGTGGGTATACATGTGTACATGATATTAGTCTACTGCATAGAATGTCAACCCTGGATTAATAAACCCCGTTTACGGCTGTTGAATTGGGTATCAAATCATGACTATTGGGGGAATACCCCCTAATTAATAAACCTGTTGCGTCCCGGTGAATTGTCCCTGGTTTTTGTTGCCCACACCACAGAAACTCATGAGCCTCTTGGGAGCATGAAAAACCCATCCGTTGCCCCACAGCACCTATGTTTTCTTGCAACAAATCTGTGAATCTTCATGATTAAACCATGGGTTAAACCATGTTAATACCATATTCATATTAAACCATGATTAAAACCATATTCTTTAATATTGGTGTCATGTTAATACCATATTGAACCACATTTTTCTCACCACCCGAGGTGGATTCTCCGCAACCCTTTTGACTTCCCCAGCGACGAAGGTGACCCAGGCGCCAATGGGAGATGAACCACTGCGGCGTCTGCGCCTTCGATGCCATCAGCTCCACCATGGAACAATTCTCCGCCTAGCGTGGAAGCAAGGTGGGCAACCGTGGATGGGCCAGCGAAATGTGATAAACCACCATCAAAAGGATGGTTGAAAGCCTATAAATGACGGGATTCACCACCTATCAACTGGTGATTTCGATGGATTTTGCAACCATCCACTGTAGGATGTGGAAAAATGTCGAGTGAATGTATGATGCACATTTCATGTGAAAATATCACTTCATCCTTGATCATCCATGTGTATTTCATATATATATATAACTTATATAACATACTTAAGTAAGTGAATATGTCATGTTCGAAACTGTTGATACAAAAAACAAAAACAAAAACAAACTATGATGGCATATTCTGCTGAAAGCATGTTTTATCCATGGATCATAATTCATCTAAGGTTCGTGATCATTAGAATATCATGATCATTAATTATGATCATTGTGTTTATGTTATATATTAATGGCATATGTGTTGTATAACAATGACCTATAAATGATCATAAACATGACATGCATGAACTATGATATGGATTGATATGTCATATGATATGTGATGATCATATGATATATTTATGTCATTGTTAAACAACATATCGTATCAATTAATTATTACTAGTCATTGGTTAATATATATATATATATTATATATCAGCTATGTTAATATACTGGTTAATGTATATATATATATACATATTATATATAATTATACCTCATACCAATTAATCAACCAATTAATAATCATTAACAATCATCTATCTATCTATCTATCTACCTATCTATCTATCTATCTATCTATCTATCTATCTATCTATCTATCTATCTATATATCAATATCATCAATGGTCTCCCTATCAGGGATATATGGTTCATAGCATTTATCATCATCGATGGCTTTCTCCCATTGCTTCCCCGAAGAAAAAAAGGGCTTCAGCGAAGCCTGGGTGGCGGGGCGGATGAGCCAGGCATCCAAGTGATACAAGTTGATGATCTCTGCGGTCAACGGCTGACCTCAGTGAAGCTCATGGTTGGAGGATAGAAAGCGGTCAAAAATAGGGAATGTCTGTAGAAAAAGGGGGAAAATCATGGAACGCCCAGCTGGGATATCTCTAAATCATGAGAAATGGCTGCTGGATGGCTGTTTGCTCCACTTCATGGCAAATTTCAATTGAACATCATATTGATTAGCTACACTTAGTTGTGATTAATGGGAAAAATATAATCGAATGGTAACCAACCAATTTATGGTTGTATGAGATTTGGTGTAGTGGGGATATATAATGGGGACGTATAGCAAGTGCTTCACAATCATGGGGATGGAACCAACCCCATGGAGTTTTTCTTCACGTGGAGAAACCAAAAATAGCCGGATGTGCAAGCCCAAATAGTGTGGATTATTCCATTCATTTCTTCATGTTTCCCCTGTTCGTTGACAGGCTGGCCTCCAGCAACCCGGCTCGCCTCGAGTGGGCGAAATCTTGAAGAAATCATGCCAACGCCTGGCGCATTTGGGGTTAGACATATGCATATTATACATATACATTCCAGATGTAACTGGGGATACAGTTGAGAATCTGTATTCCATTTATCTTTAACGCTACGAATGTATAAACATGCACGTTCCATGGATGGATGGATGATAGGCAGCTTTGCCCATGGACCATCGGGATGAAAAATGGGAGGCTTCACCGGAGCAGTGTCGATTTTTTGAGTCGAAGAACGTGTTCCCACCTTTATGAATCTTATGTCGCTATCTAATCCAAGCGTTTGACATATATTGTGCATAGTTCCTGCCTGTATCTCTATACATATAACATAGATGTACTTTAGATATATAGTTGATACATATAACATATGTATACTAAGATGATACACTGTATATCTCTATCAATTCTCTATCTATACATATACATCATCTTAGTTGATATCCACTTTTTTTGTGCCACTGGGCCAGCACATTTCGCCAAGTGATCAGCCCCACCTGCAGTGCTGTTTGATGAAAGCCCAAATCCGCGACAACTGATCCATCGAGATAGCACCTGAAACCACAGTCGAGAGGGGAAACTCTGGGGATTTCAAACGTTGAAAAAAGGGATGGTAGTTTGAAAAGCTCCACTGTTCTAATTCTAAGCCACTGGGAAACCTCTGGAATTGATAGGAATTGGTTGGGAAATGGGTGACAAGGATGTGACAAACATCTTCCCGGAATTGGTCCAAGAGCAAGTTATACATGAGGCCCGCCTTCATATCTAGACAGTCAAAACACACCCCATTGACTTCAAAGGGTTCAATGGCATGTTCGTCTCACTATACCCAACCACCAAATCCCTGGCAAGGTTGAAAAATAGCGGTTTGTAAAGGCTGATTACAACTGGTTTGAGAATAATGATCATTATACTTAAATCCGAATCTCAAATGGTTAATTAGTGATACTGGATTAGATTAATAGGATACCTATAGATTATTAATGATCATTACCTGATAATTATTATATACTTAAATTGATACAGTATAGCAACTAATATTAACCCTAATGGTATTTGATAATGATCATTATACATTAACCATAATCTTTACAAATCATGGGAAGCCCATTCAACCAGGTCTTGACGCTGGGGAGTCAGAGGCCAAAGCGTGAATGTAGAAACTGTGGAAGTTCAAGTTCCTTTTCAGGCTCAGCTTTGTCTTAAGTGGTTGCTGGGACTGATGCTGTTGCAAATTTTGCAACATGGGGTCTTCCACACTTTTCAGACTCACAAAAATTGGTGGATTTCGGGGATGCCCAACCTTTCTCAACTAGAAATCCACCATTTTTCGATTCGCATCATTTTTCCGCCCCTGCGTTGCGAGCAACGGTGTTCCGTGTCCGAGATGACGATGCGCGTCGGAAAGGTGCTGCACCTTGGAGGCTTGGATCCGGTCGTGATTTGCCTATCTAAATACCACAGACATCCCTTACTTTTGCATGGTTCATTTAAATATATTCTACTAGTAGTATATCATCACAATATCTATTCAATGGCAATTTCAGGATCCTAAAATGGAGCTACTGTACCCTATAAGGCCATATTTCTGCGGGAATATTCCCTTACATAGGGTAGGTACCTCCAATTTTACGGTTCCTGAAATGGCCATTGATCTATGCACTATATCGCTATAGCATGCTACAGTATGACTGCTCAATGTTTCTAGCAATCTAGATCCACTACACATATCCGTGTGTCCAAACATGGGTATTCCCCATGTGGAAGAAATCCATCAAGGTGGCTTATCCCATATTTTTTTTCCGCTTTTTACATGTTTCTACCGGTGGACGGTCCCATGGACGAGTCACAGAAGCTCCAAATGCTCTTCGCTGCTGGGCGACAGGGGCTCGCTGGCATCTTTCGGATCCGGCATCTTTTGGACGACCCGCAAGGCACAGCAAGGCACGAGAACGAGCGGGGGATGTTGTGTATTGGATATTTACTTCTTCACCAACCACTTTAGGGCGGTATCTATCTATATAATATATCTATCTATGTAATATATCTATCTATATAATATATCTATCTATAATATATCTATCTATAATATATATATATAACTATATAACATAATTATATATATATGTGACAACAGTTTATTGGTATTTCGAGATATAACCATAATGGAACGAGCAGGTCATAGCCCCAATACTGGCGGCTCAAAGATCAAGGTTGTAATCAACCGATATATGGTGAGAGGGTTGGTGCATAAGTGTGTCATTACATGCATGTGTGTGACATGAAGTGGATTAGGTGCTTCTTATTGCTTCCCTCATTTCCATAGGAACATCATCACATGATCCCTTTTTACAATACCTCGAAGTGGGTTTTAATAGCTTTGAGCCAACGCTTTTTGAAGTCGGCATGGCAATGTACACGCGCCCTCTACATCCACTGTTGTGGTACCATGCGATACCCTTCTGATAGATATTTCATAGACTTCCCTTCCAAAGCTGATGGAAATGTAGGTGCTCCAACCAGGAATAATGGCTCAAACATGTGCTCCTTATTGGGCATGTTAACCAAGGGACACCCGCAAAAAATATGACAATGGCAGATGAATCAACCTGGCTGACGCATTTGAGAAGCTGTCCCCAACAAGGAATTGACTTCAATAAGACTGGTATCCCCCTGTACAGCTAGAACTTCACTCATCCGGGGTTGATACCTGAAGCCTGCCAGAAATGGGCAAAATCTGATGGAACATGTGTGTTTCAATGTCAAACACTAGTGAGCACATAATAAGTTGAACGTGAACCATGTAAGAGTTGTCAAAAATTGTTGTTAAAGGTCAGCATAATATGCTTGAAAAGAGCTGAATCATCTTGTTGATGTTCAGACCAGGGTCTCTCATGATTGGGTTCTTCTACCTTTTGTTGTGCAGGGGATCAGGCCATATCGAGAAAAGAACTGCAGGAAACGCCTAGGAATGGAGCTTGTCAATACTGTGTGCAACTTTGAATGCCTACAGGTTTTTCTAATTACTCCGCCACAGAATCATGGCACTTCATGAAGGGTCATTGAAGGATGGCAATTTGACCAACATGTAGGGCCACACTTTCAAACCTGGGAGAACCATAAAACTATATGGGGTTTTCCAGAGCAAACAAGCTCTGTGCAAAGCTTGGTATCCAAGATCATGTGGGATTGCTGATGTTTCCTGCCCCACAATCCTGGTGGCCGAATCATGAAAATTTACCAACCTGAAATCTCGAATTTGGGATTATTATCATACCCTCTGGTAAACTAACATAGCTATTGAAAATGGCCATTTATAGTGGTTTTACCTATTAAAAATTGTGATTTTCCATAGTTACGTTAGTTTACCGGAGGGTAATTTCCATGAATTCCCCCAATCCTCACCATCATCTACAAGAATATGCTTGAAGGAAACTCTCAGTAGCTCCTTGGCTCCTCATTTGATTTCGGGAATATGGATACAATCCCCACCAGTCCCATACCACAACCGGGCCCCAACCGTTCACCCGTGGCCACGTCCTCATAAGCTGCTTTAGGATGTTCCCCATGGCGTCACCGTTCAAGTCGATCCTTGCCTGATAGTAAAGCCAGGTTGATGAATTAGGATGCAAAAAATGCTCAAAAAATGCAAAACATATGGCAAACCATAAACATCGCATCCAATTGCCATAAACCATCCCATTACAGAGTCCTTAAAAAGGGATAAGACATGGATAAATCCCCAGTGGATGGTTTGTGGCACACCACATGACCAGACCGCCCCGCCCCATCCCACCTCTTTGGCACGTTGTAGCCAGGCCCGTGCACCCGAAAGATCTTGGCGATCCATCAAGATAGACCTGGAAGTGGGGCATGATGTGGTCCAGACATGTCTTTGCTATCTAATGAGGAAACAATTGATGATAAACAATTGATAAACCAGGATAAACCAGGGTAAACTTGGATAAACTTGGATAAACCAGGATAAACTTGGATGTATACCCAGGTATTGGAGAAATATGTGTCTCAGTGGAGGAAAAGAATTCTACTGGAAAGATCTGGACAGCCCATGAATTTACCCTGTGAGCATACCGTATGTCACCATTCACAGGAAACATATTATATGGAAACCCAGGTTTTTTGCCCCTCAAACTTAGATTCCGGTGGTATTGGAGTGCTTGACAGGTTTGAAGATAGGTTTGTAGAACTAGGTACTATTTTCTGAACATTCTTGAGAACCTGCGGAAAAAAGATACGTATGAACGAAAGTATGAACCTATTTTCCTCAGGGGTCCCAATTTGTGAGGGTTTGGACCCCATCCCCGTTTCAGAGTCAACAGCAAGCCTCCCACAAAAGGGGATAGTAATCCTGATAAAAATACGTATTAATGTGGTAAAGCCATATGGGTGCAACTAAAAAACCATCCCCACATGCTAGTGGTTGATTGGTTTTCCATGGGTTTTCCCACAAAGATCTAACAGATGTCACCAGCCCATCTCCAAAGTTTGGGAGCGGCCAACCCAGCTCCGGGGCTCTCTGCAAGAGTTTTTCGATGAAGCTTTCTTGGACAGCGGCCTGCCTGGGTGCCCCCACTTTCACCATGGGGATCTGAGGAAAGGCAAAAATGGAGCTACTGTAAGAATTGCCTAATGGACCTACCGTAGTATCCCTTCCATGAGGATAATGGTGTACAACAATTAAGATTTGTTAAGATGCTCCAAAGGATGATAACTGTGGCCACGATATGGGGTGCAAACCCAGCTGTAACAAGTCCAATTGCTCTCCTACATGGGAAAGTCAAGCGGGTTTAAAAAGTACAAATCGCCCGAGAAACATCAACCTTAGCATACCTTAGATGGCAAATCCTTGCCCATCATTTAACATCAACAAACCGCAACTGTCTGGTTTATGATAATCCTTCAGAGACTTCCGAGCCCAAACCTCCAGAAATTCTCAACGCTTTGGGATCCACAATTGATGGTAGCCTTGATCATCCTTGGAGGTGAACGCTCAATTTGTGGTACTCCAAACTTGTCAGGTATGATTAGCAGTTTTGATTGTTACCCCCAAATCATTCGATGTCATCCTTTGGAAATCTAAAATCCACCATTTGTACCCATTTATACTTAGACTTTCCCAATATAATGGGGCGTTTTCCAGCCATCTTTGATTACTCGAAAAAAGTCTCAGCAGTATACCTGCAAATCTCCATGTCTTGGTATCCAGTTCTGTTGGTTAAAAACTTCCAGTTCCGTTTTGGGCTGGGCCCACCTCTGGCATGCCATGCGGAACCACTTCTCCACCGCAGCAGAATCTCCCAAAAGCTCGGCAGCCATCACCCTGACGTTGTCTGATGGTTTTTTTTGCCAGAAAATGTGGGGGAAAATGTTGGGAAAATTGTTGGGAAATGATGAGCTTTTGTCCAGCAGATATGGGATCCACAATGATAAAGAGATAGGAAAGGGATATTGATATAGTGCGGAACATTGATATTAGGCAAAATCTAAGGGAAAATCATCGAAAAAATGAACTGTCAATGTGGGATCGGCCAAGGGTAGTCCCCATAGCTGTTGCGTGGCCAGGGAGTCGTTTCGAGAGTTTTCAGAATGAGTTTTGTTGATTGAAGAACATCAATTGTTCAAGTGTTGATTTAAACTCAAATTTTGACACTAATTCTCGCTGGTTATTCCAGCCCAGTGTGGTCAGACTAACAGCTGTAGTTGCTGCAGTGGATGTCATTTTCCGTTGCTTGGCAGTTTTTGCTGCTGAAAAACCGCCTTGTTCACATCTGAGGATCCCGACAAGTTGGCATAGCTTGGTCCCTGCATCTGAATGCCAATCTTCAGAGCCTTGGCAAGTTTGGAGGAGGGTAGTGGGTAGATATAGAGATTTCTTTACCAAGACATCTTAGGGACACCACAATAAGCAGAAATTGGATATAGGGATACAACAGCAATAATGTGCATGCACAACTATCATTGGATGAAATTAGGACAAATCGATTCATAATGAGGATAAACTGTGATAAAATCAACAACACTTGGGATAAAACCGTCAGATTTCAGGTAGAAACAACGCGAAAACTGCTTGTCGAAAAACAAACAAAACCATACAAAACCTGGGAACAATAACACAATCGTGTGGATATAGATAGAGTTTACAAGAATAGGGACACAACGATATACCTGGCACATTTGCAGAACAGGATAAAACCAAGAAACGAGTAAGATAAAAAACAGTGAGAAATCGGATACTGTCAAAAATTGTTTGAACAAAAGTGACAAGAATGAGGGACGCCAATGTGTACCGCAAAGAATCCTTGAGGTATAGCCAGTCCCAGCCCATGGTAGGCCTCGTCGTACCAATACTCTGCCATGGGCCTTGGTCGTTGTGTTTGGGTCAGAGTTCGTTGGTGGTACACGGTGAATGGATTCCAGGGAGACTCGCGTGTGGGTGCCGAAAGTTTACCTTTTATCCACCTGGGCATGAGAGATGGTAGTAAAATTCGTAAACCTACCCAAAATCAGAGCATTGAAAAAGTATATCCGGAACCGGATCTGAGGCCAGTGGTGATTTCCCCAGTACAAGGCTACGTGAAGTCTACGGGAAGCCTACGCGGACTGCAGAGGTGGCCTACCCCGAGGACCCCGCTGTTAAAAAGAACGTAATTATTTCGTTTATGGCCACTGATCCTTGAATGTTCCACCGGAGTACGGGATAATACGGGTACTTTGGAGGACATCAGGACATGTATCCAAGGTTTAAACAATGCCTCTCTCTGCTAAACTGACTGACGAACCCAAAACAAGTCAGCCTCAAACATAGAAAGCGGGTCCCTCTTCTTCTTCTTCTTCAGAAAGATCAAAAGGCAAAGCGAAAACATGCAGCAACCCAACTAATTTATAACAATTCTTACAGTCGAGCTGGTCCCAAAAAGAAGATACCCCAAAATTTCTGTCAGATCTACATTTGAATTGCCATGAATTGGGGCCTATCCGAGCTTATCCCCCCGTTTTTCAGACACCTCCACAAACCCATAAGCCTTTCATGGGACAAGTCCATGTTTTTCAGCGTGGTTAAATCGGTTAAATCATTGGCATTGAAGTCCCTGTAAAAAGGATGGCTAAATCACATAAACTGACATTAAAAACACCTCTAATCCCAGTCTAATCCTGGTGCATACGCGTTCTGTATGAATTACATGCTGTTACATATGCTAATTTAAGCTGAAAAGTTCGGCTAGATTGATATTGAGATAGTTACCCTCTGGTAATTTAACATATTGAAAATGGCTCATTAACAGTTGATTTACCCATTGATCGCATGGTGATTTTCCCCAAGGAGATCCCCTGGGTTCCCCGCAAATCTCCGGCCCGCGCCGCCGCATCCACCAGGCCAACGAAGGAGGCCTGTCGCGACCAACAGACGGGATAGGGAGATCATAATGGGGATCATTGGTGGTTAATATGACTGATTAACTGGGTATATTACTGATTGATCGGGAGAATACTTGGGGATATATGATTGATATCTGATTGATATATGATATAATGGGCAAATAATTGGGATATCAGGGAAAGAATAATGAGAATATTATGGGGATATCAGGGGAATATCAAAACAATTGTTACAAGCCGACAAGCCTTTTCAAATAGTTCCGTTGATTTAAAACCATCAGGCGAGGATGAATTAGGGCCTCAATCATCCCAGGGATTGTCAAACACAATACAATACAATTTGGATTCTGACAGGTAGCTGGCGTTTTCATCCAAGGTTCCAAAGTGTAGGGCTGACTTGGTCCACGTTTAATTTAAAAGCGAAGATCTGAGCAGTCTGAGCCCTAAGCCCCTAAATTGGAAATCTTTTCATGGAAGGACCCAAACCTTGTTTCGACCCCTCACCCATGCACGTGTCACGTCATCCGTTTCTGAAGGATGTTCTGGTCGGTTGAAACAGAATCATTCCAAGCTGTGGAAATTGTTGAAACACTGGTTCTGACTTGCTTTTCACTCAAGCTGAAGCTCTGGGGGCAACGCGTATTCGTACAGGCCTCCTGGCGAACCTCCTATGTTCATGCTGGCGTACAGCGATCTGTTCTGAACCAGAACTGCAGTGGGGTGCAAGCCGCCCGGACACTCCAAGACTTCTGTGAAAGTTGCGTCACCTGGACGGATGGCCAACACCTTTCTCTGTCTAAAGTCAGCGACATAGATTGTTCCACCTTCAGTAACGAACAAGTCCCATAGGTCGGGGTAGTGCTCGGCTGGGACCTGTCCCACCACAACAGGTTTGAAGGACTCAGCTGGACTGAAGCGTATGATGCGGTTGTTGTCGCAATCAAGGATATAGATCACCTCTTTCTTGGTCGCAAACACTGCATGAGGCACGAACTTCAGGTCTGCCGGAAGAGTCTCAAAGGTCATGACAGTTTGGAGCCGGGAGCCCTCCAACTTCTGCAGAGCTTCGGAGGTCAGCACGTACAGCACGCCGTTGGGGGAGCAACACACCTGTTGGCACATTCCTGCAACCCATCAAGCACCAAGCGTCCAATTCCATTGTGAAAGCTAACCAGCCTTTCATTGTCAGAATCTCCCACAAAGATCTCCCCAGTGGGTGCGATGGCGAAGTCACAATCCGCCCCCAGATCATTGATTCCGGTCACGCTGGCGCCTGGACCCGCAACTTGTCGCACGTGAGTTGGTGGGTCACCAGGCTTCCAACACAGGATGTTGCTGTGGCTGTCGATGGCATAAATGGCACCTTCGTGCCAGCGTAACTTTTCACAGGGTGTAGGAAGCACTTGTTGCAGTGAAAATTCTGTGCTGGCACCCAAATCTGGTGACCAATGCTGTAAGCAACGCCTCTTTGGACGAAAGCTCTCTTGATCTGGGTTTATCTTTCGGCACTGAGCTTGCAAGGCATCTTGAACTTCTCGGTGGATGTGGTCACCATTGAGACCAGGGACAGGCAAACGACCAAGGCGAAGTAGATTTTCAATAGAAATTGACTGGAAATCCACATGTTGCAGAAGCACACCGAGCAATCCATCTCTGTCCTTGGAGATCTTAAGCCAGTTGAAGATGCCTTTCAAAACCGCCTCTTCCCGAGACACCACCAGATCTTCTCTTTTCAAAATTCGGGCCAGCTGGATGACACCAAGCTTCCCAAAGTCTGGGTGCTGGCTGCAAGCCTCAAACTCCTCCGCGACTTTCTCTTCACATGCCCTCTTGAGAGCATGGAGGCCGTGTGCTTCTTGCAAGATCTGCAGGGCAGAATTGCTGTCCAAGGAAGCACGGAAGCCTGCCTCAATTGCACTTGCTAACTTTGGCAAGTCGTAGGCCTCCGCCAGTCGTAGGAGTTCAACACCAGCTTCTAGATTCACCTCAGGCTGCCCGCCGTAGATATAGTCAAGCAAGGCCGACACCGCTGCGGTAGAAGCAGCAATTTCCACTGGCTGTCCTCGTTGCACCCGATCTGCTTCCAGAAAGGATCCACCCAGCAGATTCTTGAAAAACTTGGAGGCGGCAGACAGCACAGCAGCGTGGGCACGATGTTCTGCACCGTCCCTGCTCTTCAGCACAACATCGCAAAGATGGTCTTCCATCCAGAAATCGCGAAACTGCTCCACGATGCCAACTTGATGCTGGACCAGATCAGCATGCTTAACTCTCGCAGCTGCCATGGCGCAGGAATTCACCAGGTAGCTGTTCCACCCGACAAGTCGTAAACACTGAGTTTAGTGTCTGGCTTCCTTGCTTGATGGGTGTGTTGGGAAAGCCAATGAGTAAAAAAAAAGCTGAACATTGGACGACATTGGATCTGGCGGAAATTCAAGACAACCTTCGATTAGCCCCTACCCAAGGGCAGGGAGTGTGGATAAGCATGGATAAGCATCAACACCAACCATCAACACTTCTATACGCTTCTATATGTCTTGCAAATCATGGCCTGAACCATCAACCAAGACCAGGTCTTTCGCAGGTGCTGCAATGCACGCTCATCGTTTCTTGAGTTGAAATGGCAACCTGGTAGTCCTTGAGAAAGCTACTCGCATCTGATTGCGCTCTGGAAAAAAAAAACATGTGAAACTGGGAAAATTGGAGGTTTCCGATGAAATATGTCATGGGAACTTCGATAATTTTAGAGTAGGATAACACTGGCGATAATCATGAGATATCTGGGTTTGTCTGAAAATAGGTTATCCCAAAATTTGGTGGTTTAGAAATTTGTTTTCCACAATGCAACAACCATGTAGAGATATACCCTATATTTGGACAAACCCACATATTTGAAGACAAAAGGTTTAGAACCAGCAATGGCAATGCAACCAAGAGGAAGGTATGTATGATAGATAAGAAAATCATCAAATGTAAGCCAACAATGGGGACCATATCATCAATGAGAATGGGGATGCAACCACTTGGGAATGGCAGGACGTGAAGATTTCAGATAGTCAAGCAATAAGCAACAGGAGAATTAACCTTGCCAAAAGGGGATCTTTTGAGAGAAATCGCAACTCTCAGGTGTCCAATACCATGGGATGCCATGGGATACCATGGGATATCCCACAATCCATCCAGTTTGATCATCAGTTGCTGCATCCCACTCAGCCGGCGGCGGCGCCTGTGTGGGTGCTACCTGGAACCTCCTCATGCGAGCGAACCACTTCCTGCCATCGCGTCAATGGGGGAGAAACAACAACATACAACCCACTTCAACCACAAAAATGGTCAAGAACTATACCCATGCACAACCCATCCTTGAAAATAATATGTGGTGATTATCCAATAAGCCTAAACCATCCCTAAGAACTGATGCACATATGGTAAATTGTATGAATATATCAAAACTAAAATATATATAAACAAGTTTGAATCTTATCTTATACCATGTTATACCAAATAGTGAATATAAACTCTATATAAATGGGATGTTCATCATCCCCACGCTCGGTAAGGCCAAGGCGCTCGGCGTGGATGAGATCTGCTTCTTCGAAGCAGATCATGGCATTGAAGGCTTCAGCCTCCGGCCTCGAATGAAAATCAACTTTGTTTCACAGGCAAATCATCTATATAATCATGGAATAATCATGTATATAATTACATGGAATAATTGATTTTACATCTATATAAAATAATAATTGATTTTACATCTATTGTATAGATAATTTGATTACAATAGATGTAAAATAGATAAGTCATCTATATAATCATCATGGTTTGTTGTGGCCATAACTTCGTGTTACAATAAACACCCAACCAAATAGATAATATCAGATATAACTTAGTGTGTCCCCTGTTATAAAGCTGGCACTGCAACATATTTCGGCTAAGTTATATATCCCCTGTGCCAAACAAAGGAATGATGTGGGAAACC